AACGATTGCGAACCTGGATCAGCATCGCGTGAGCTACGATGCACTTCCGACAATCAATCATTCTAATCGTTGGCATGAACTTACTGCCCGTCGGCGGAGCTATGTCTATGTCCCAGCCACTGCCAATACTCGAGCACGTCGAACTCTTTCGCGGACCCACGTGCGAATCGTTACTTGACAGATTGCCAGAACTCGGCCGGGACTCTGCAATGGAAACCTAATCAGGATTTATTCTGACGCTTTGAGAACTCTTCCAAGAGATATTTATCATATTTAATTTCATTACATTGTAAAACAAAATACACTGTTCAACCTTTTTTGCTACACAACTGTGAATAGTCATTTCCATTGTATTTCTGCTGAACACATTGGTAAAAGTTAGTTGGCAGAAGTTAGCATGTAAAAATTTTGAGAAAAATGGCGTCAAAAGGGATCACATTTTTAGTCCCTTTCACGTCCATTTTTTTCAAACTTTGATAGCCAACGTGATAGCCAACTTTTGCCAATAAATTCATATTCAACATGCAAAAAATATGTCGAAAATGAAACTGTTTATGATATTGCAAAATGATTCCTCAGTGTTATTTTAATTGTCACATCTTATCATAAAATTAAATACATTATTGTAAAAAAGAAAATTCAGAATATAAACCCGAGCTTTTTTTCATAAAAAATTAATTTTCCTTATAAGGTGTATTTAATCGAAAATCTGTTAAAAAAGTTATTAACTAGAAGAGTTAATTTTTATTATATGAGTAACGTAACAATATCGTCGGTATACTTACGAAATGATCGCATACCAGTATTGCTGGAAGTAGAATCCATGTGCGTGGACCGTCCTAATCCTTCATCCAAGACTTTTTCACTGTAATATAATAAAACGATTAGTAAAATTAATCAATAGTAGAAAAGATCATTGAAGAAATAATTTACCTTGTCTTGCACATGCCATGTTCTGTCGCCGGAAAGATTTTCGTGCACATGATGCACGGAGGAGAATTCATCGAGTGAACCTTTAAACCAAATATATCAATGATATTAAAATACATCTGTATATAGATATTTTCGAAAATAAAATTTTAAGAGTGATTATTTTAGACTCATACCTTAAACAATGATCCTCTGTACGTCATTGCCACGGTGCCAAACACCATTTCGCTTAGGAGACTCACGTCATCTTCGACAGTTTTATCTCGCTGAAAATTTTAGACTACATTTCGTTAACGTAATATATGTAATATTTGTGGACGGATATGAATATCGACTAAAGCTGTGTTTCGATATACACTGCCAACACTGGCAGTACTAAAGAATTGTTTCGTTATTAGCGTGCTGCAGCAGCATCTAGTTCCATTCCATCAATGACATCATAAATGGTAGCCATATGTCCATATTGCTGCGACTACTGCAGCTCTCGAGTCGAGGTGAGCCAGTTACAGTGGTTATAGTGCAATTTGACGTCAAATAAAGAAGCGCAAAATATATTTATTAGAGCTAGAAACAAACCAGTTCTAGAAAGAACTATCGCTGCTGCTTTTTTGTTCAAAACCTCTAATGCTATTATTAGGCATATTAATTATAGAGATGCATCGGATCGTAAAATTATTTATTAGATACCGAATATTGGATATTCGGTCAAAGAAAAGAATGTCACTACACTAGATATCCGATATTCGGTTGGATATCCGGTAGGGCAATTATCCGGCTGGATATTTTCCGGACATCCAATACAAATTTCTCATAATTCCAAAAGAAAAAGAGAAAGCAAGGGAAAAATAGCGATAATAATTAATCGGCCGTGAAAGGGTTGTTTCAACACTGACGTCAATTCAAATTTATTAATATTAATAAATTTTTCATGGACAATAACATTTCAGTATTTTCCGGTAATAATCTATTTTGATTATCGACATAAACCACCATAATTGTGCAAAATTATACTAAGATTAGCAGAAAAAAATAGAATTCTGCATCAATTTTCAGTATATAAAATTTCAGCCGGGTATATATATTGCCAGATATACAAAGTACTGGATACCGGATATTTTCCGGTTATCCGGTGTATTCCTAACATTGACATTTTGATTTAATGTATTTATCCTTATAATAAATACGGTGTCTGTAGAAGCATACATATTGTAACAACAAAACAATTGTAAAATTTAAAATATTACTATTATTATTATTATTATTATTACTATTATTACTATTATTATTATATGATGTTAGATATTATTTAATTAAGTTTATGTTTATAATCCATTTAATAGATATAATAATTTAATTTAATGGTTTGATTCGATGGCTTGATTTATTAATATGCAAAACTCGATTACCTCAAAATCGTGAGCAGTCTTCATGTTAAAGGGCATCTCGCATTTTCCCTCTGCATTGTTGTTCATCGCAGTGCACACAGTTTCGCTTTTACTTCGGTGTTTCTGGACTGTCATCGAATCAAACAGAAGTTTTCTACCACGCCATTCGCATTCTCGAAATAGCAAAATTCGCACTTGATTCGCTCCAACTTGCAACACGGAATTCCTGTAACTTGATAGAATGCATCGTGCTTTCATTTGAAAGCTCTTTTAGCATAGAAGATGTTTAAAATAAATAATAAAATAAAAATGAAGTAATAATTAGTGTACAAACTCTTTCATGTCTGACTTTTTAAAAAATACATCTAATTCATTTACGTCCAAAACTTTTGTAATTATTACAATAAATATAAAAATTGTATTAAAGCAATGAATTAAAAATATTGAACAAAGAATAAAATATTTTTTAATATTTAATAAATTTGTTAGAAAATTTTTAGGACTGTTAAATACAAAAATAAAAAAACATTTTAGAGTAAAAAGGTCTAAAATATAACGAACTTTCAACATGGTGAATGCAGAAAGTAAAATGTCTTTAAATTCTAGTGCAAATCTGAATTAAAACATTTTCAGGATCATATAATTTTTATATTTCTCATTTTATTTTATTACTATTTTATTAAGTCTTGAATAAAATTATTAATTTAAATAATAATTTGTACACGTGTTACTTATGTTAAATTAAAATAAAGAAAAATAAAATGATCAAATAATTTAATGTAAGCTGGAGTAAATCAATGTATATTCTACATACAGCATAAAAATTGATTCAACTTGCATGAAAAAGAAAAAAAAGATTTGATAAAGCTTTTATGATATCTCCCCCTCAAATGGAGAAACTTCGAAACACTTCGTTGACGCGCGATCGCTTCTCGACGTTGCGTTGGTAAAACAGCTGCAGACGCGGTGAGAACGGAGCCAAGTAATTGCAATGAAGTAGGTTAGGGAAATAGCTTAAGCATCAATCTTTATTATAAAATTCCAAGCTTTCGATAAGAGCCCTGATAATTCAACGCCATTACAATTTTTCTTTCATCATCCTGGCGATACAAAGAGAAACGTATTTCATTCCGCTTTCTTCCCAAAGCGTGAAATTCTGCCTTTATCTCTGGCGCCAATACAGAATAGTAATGCGATTTATGCGATTGACAAAAGATCGATATGATAGGTGCATACGCATAGCGGTAACAATGAACGGATGCTGGGCGAGCCATTTCGAAGGAGGGATCCATATGAGGGAATCACACGAGCCAAACGGAGCGGAAACGCGCTCCGAGGTCCGAAATGGAACAGCGCAATCTCGCTTGCTCACCTATCATTTCCAGTTGTTCGTGCACTGGACACTAGGCTCTCGGCACTCTCGCGCGAACTGCTCTTCCTCGCAGGTAATAGTTTATCGAGCAACGGCATTATAAAGCCACGGCCCGCCGTTTATATTAGTTATCGCATCGTCTCGCGGAGCAAATCTGCGTATATCATGTCACGCGGAACTGCACCATACATGTTCGCGCGGGTTAAGTCTCTTACTCCTCTTACTGTAAATAAAGTCACGTGCGGAGGAGTCATATGATTGCCCGAGATAATAGCTCAGCGTCGCTGGGGCGGATAGCACGATCGAGGCCACTTTTTGGCCGCAACTTGATGGAATTACCTCCTGCCAAGAGCCATTCAAATCGAGCTTATTATCTATACAATTTTTAAAGGGATTTTCCCCAATATTGGTCATCTGACATTTTTTCCTCCATACGTACAGATTTTTCCAAAGAGAATTGTAAGTCTTGTGAGAATTCATGGATTACCGACCGACGGCTTTTATTGAATCATCAGTAGATCCCGCAAGATGGAGCTAGACATCCCGTTACATTGCGCCAATTGCCAAAGTGAGCGGTCTCTTTGAAATCTTTGAAATCACGACAGATCTGATATATCTATGTCGATATATTTGTGTATTTAAATGTCTATTTTTTCTCCATTCTAAATCTTTCTTACTCCACTTCTAAACTGGGGTGCAATAAATTAGAGCGATAACAGATATAGTTTGTTTTGCATTAATTCAACTAGTTTAGAATTCTTCAAAAAAGAATAGGCCTTTAAGGTTCAATGATACTAGTATCAGTTATTATTTTGATCTATAATGTCAGAAGGGAAGCTTCCCGCAAATTATCTACATAATTATCTATGAATGATATTTCATTAACCAAATTCGAATCTTTTAATTTTTAATAATACAGGCATCAATATTTTTAGAATAAAAAAAGTATCAAGCCAATTTTTTAATATATTTTAATATAAATTAAATGTGCACATACAATTAAAATAACTTGCTACATTTTCAAACATTTTCGTGTTTTATTTTGTAGACATCATCTATATAATGTTTGAATATTCTTATAGCAAATACAGGTTGTGTATACAAGTCTCAAAATAATAGTACAATTATTATATAATTATACTTATTGCAATAATTAGTTACAGAAGAGATAATTTTCGAGTAGATTTCTTTCTTAATACTTCCTTGTAGAAGTCAATGTCGAAAAACGTACGAATATCACGTCAAATATGCATAACGCGCAAATATCTGCAAAATCACATTTCATATGAATTTCAATTGATCCGTTTTATTATTCATGCCACGTCGAAATGGAACGTCGTCGTTGACATTTCTGCGCATTTTGTTGGCCAATATGAGGCGAGGAACGTATTGGACAACGACAAATAAACTGGAAACTCGATGTTGAACTTCAGTATTAGATCACCCTTTTGCTTCGGATTTGCGGGAAATGGCATTCCCTCACCCGGCACACGTTTGATGTAATCTGGTCTAAGATAAGATGTAATATGTAAAAGGTAAAAATAAAGCGAAAATTTAGATAACATTTATAAAGTTTAAAACTTTAATTCTATAAATTAAAAAAAAAAGAATTAATCGCAAAATTGAATAATATTAAATAATATTAAATTTCATATTAATGAAATTTGTGACGATTTTGAGTAATCTCTTTTATACGAGAGAAATTACTCAAAATCTTTTAGAAATTTAAGACAAATTAAAATAAAAGATAATGTAATATAATGCAATCGAGAGAGAAAGAGAGAAATGGAAGAGATATGACGCAATTTTATAACAGCTTTTCGTACGTAACGATCGACGTTATTGGAATCCGAAGAATTCTGTCATCGATGGTGTTAAGCGTGATCACTGTTCCGGTCAGCGCCTCCTTCAGAAAGATATCGATCGTCGTGTGCAAGTCCGAGCCCTTTCGCCGGAACGTTTCGTGAGGGCGATCCTCCGTGACGAAGATAATGTCCGCTACGCTGACAGTGTCTTAGACTTAGTGAAGATATCACCTCTTGTGTGCGTTACAATTAATCTTTAACCTTTATTCTACGGAACCCGCATTTTCACGTGACGATAGTCGTAAATTGATCAGTCATCTCATCTTTGATTGTATCATCAATTACGCGAATCTATTTCATTGTAACTTTATATTATTATTTATCATTACCTTATTAATTTATTGTAAAAAGAAATACGTTATATGGAAAATATGTCTAATTATTTTTTGTCATTTATAAAGGGATAAAATTTATAATACAAGGGTTAAACTTTTAATTTGAAGAATATGATAACTTTTTTTAAATATAGGAAACCGCTTTGCTTTTACGAGTAAAATAGAATACGATAAAAAAACACAAAACTATGAGAAAGACAGCTACAAAGAAAATGTTTTATTATCTGTTTTATTATCGCAATCATATCGTAATACTTTAGTGTGGTTATAAGCGTAAGTCAAGTTCAAAAAAGATCAAAGAAGACAATGGAAGAACTTATACTTACCAGGTATCTTCATAGGACTTTGGTCACCCTCTTCTGGAAATACTATTTTGGTACCTGCTGGGATTCCCGGCTTAATGGGTATCGTCAAGATCTTCTCCATCGACGACGTTATCGACTTATCGTCAAGTAAAACCAACTTTTGGATCTTCATTTTCTTTATTCCGCCAAAAAATATCTACGACGAAACGTTTTCAATTATCCGATTACACGCTAATTATTTTATCTTTCGTTTCTTACAAGGTTTTGATATGTTAAACCATACGAAAGGAATATAATTCATGTTTAATTTAATTCCCAGTAAACGAGAATGTATTCAAATGGATTGAAATTTATATCCGAATGCGTATTTTAAAAAAATAGCGAATACTTTTTTTTGGATTTAATTGGATTCAATTGGATTTAATTAGATTCAATTGGATGCAATTGGATTGAAAAACTGCATTTCCTATTCAAAATTTTGAATAGGAAATGCAGTTTTTCAATCCAATTGCATCCAATTGAATCTAATTAAATCCAATTGAATCCAATTAAATCCAAAAAAAAGTATTCGCTATTTTTTTAAAATACGCATTCGGATATAAATTTCAATCCATTTGAATCCATTCTCGTTTGCTGAGTTTTTATCATTTTATACAAAATCTTGAAATCAAAACTTGAAATCAAAATTTCAATGATCGAGATTTGATATTGTTAATAAAATTATAAGAAAAAGAGAAAAAAACAGTCTCTACAAATATAATTTGTAATTTTTTAATAATTTTGTGTTAAGGAAATATACAAAAAAATAGAAAAATACCTATAGTATGTATTTATGTTCACATAATATAATAAATAGAATTGAAAGCCGGAGCTTTCAATAAAAAAAATTTATAAAAATTTATAGATCAGTTCTTCAGTTTCTTACTTCGGAGAGAGTTAAATATAGGCTTTTAATCAAGGATTTTTGCTTCCGTTTTATACCCTGACCCTCGGGAAATTTAAGATGAGGTTCTGTTAGAATATTTAGAAGATCGTCGTACGGATTTTCAGCCGCAAAGAATTCTCTAATGATAAAACTCGCGATGAGAACATTAAAATTCTTAGAATACTGAAAGCTTAATTTTAGGTGTGAAGTTTATCGAATATTTACAATGAATATTTATTTTAAAAAATAAATATCTATTCTTCTCTGAGAAAAAGTAAGCTATAAATATACATATATTTCATTTTGTGTGTGTGATACCATTATTAAACTCCAGAATACATAAATTGAGAGAGAGCTGAATGGTTCTACCTAAAGGTTCGCATCGGCTCGCCGTGATAAACGTAAGGTTTCACGAATCTTTCTGCTCTCGACACACCATTTTTAAGACCCTCTTCGCCGTATTGATCATACACGGCCCTTCTAAGTGGATCCGAGAGCACGTCGTACGCTTCAGCTGCTAAGGCGAAAATCGCCTCAGCACCTCCGTTCTTTTGCTGCGCGGGATTGTATCGTATAGCACATCGTCGGTATCTGATAGAAATAACTACACTATTTCATTGGTGCGATATGTTTCGTCTCTTTTTATTCCCGTTTTTTTTACGTAAACGGTACGATTAATATAATATTGTAAAAAAGCTATATATAATATAATACTGCTGTAATACAAGAAAGACTGATGTAATCAGTTCACTTCAAGAGTTTTTCACAAAATATCATTTTGATATTACAAAGAAAAAATATTTTGTATCATATTTTGTAAAAATAGTTTTAATATTATTGATAAAAATGAGATGGAGAGACAGAGAAAAAGTGTAATAATAGGTTATTAAGAATTAATAAGAACTCTACTCTTACGTCCTCCTATAAAAAAGATTAGCAGCTTACGCTTCCTTGATTTCCGTATTGTCACAATTCCATCTCAGCGATAAAACTTTGTAATAGTTTATGTCATGTTGGATGAACATATATTTATCGCGTGACGGGTTTATATTCAGATCACTCTTCGAAGTTTGAGAAACCATGCCGAAAAGCAATTGTGCGAAGAACCTATGCCCATTTTTTTTTAAAATGACGCTTAGTTGGAGCGAATGTCTTTTATTTCCTTCAGCATCGTTGATCGCGACAGAGAGATCAGCAATAAGACGATCAGAGCATCGTTTCCTGTTTTCAATAACCGACAACAACGATAGTCTGTTTGCGTATCGACGTTTCACCATTATCAAGAGCATTCTTAGACGCGGATAACAATATACGAAATTGGCACAACGATTGGTTTCCTGACGGCGAGTCTAATCGACAAATTTTATCACTATGGAGCCTCGTGAACGTGTCTCGAATTTCTCTATAAAAGGTAAGCGTATAAAATCGTGTTAGGTTCCTAAACATTTCATGACGCGACAATTGCTCGGAGCGAACGGATAAACGCGTATTGAATAATGCAAAACGTAAACTGTCGTATGAAATATCCTAAAACAATTTCAGATATATATTCTATAAACATACTGTACAATTTTATATTTAAAAATCAAAAAAGAGAAATTTAAAGAACATATTTTATCTAGAAATTATGTAGTTTTTAATAATTAAATGACTATTAATCCGGCGTCATTGTGGTGTTCAAATTATACGGACGTTGAGGTAGATCATGATAACCCGAATATTTTTTTATCTATTCTCACAATGTCAACAATGATTTTAGAAAGTCTTAGCTACAGGACGGTTAAAATCTACGAAATATATAAGAAAATACAGATGTTTGAAAATATCTCAAGTCATTATGACTCAGCCACAATGACGCCTAGTTAACAACATGGGATAATAATGGATTATAATACTAATTATAATGGATTATAATGGATTATAATGGATTATCATACTGATTATAATACTATCATGTTTATGGCATATATTTAATATTATTAAAGCTTGATGGAATATTACATTCTTCAAGAAGAATGATTTGAAATAATATGTTTTATATAATGTGTTTAGATGAACCGATTGAAATTTGTGAAGAAAAAGAATACATTCGTGACAGCATTGATCGTGGAAAGGTCATCGTCGTGGTATCACCGACAGAGACAAAACCGCTTGCTTCCAGTGAACATTTGAAGAATAAGATCAATAATAACATGAGTTTCCTAGATATCTCTATGCATTCTCTCGAAGAGAAGAATTTCGATAACGACGACGATGATGATGACAACGACAACGACAACGATAACGACGATGACGATGATGACGACGATGATAATAAGGAGAATGTGAACATAAAGCGCATTTCCAGTGAATCGACGCAATCGTGTGGCAGTCATGAGGTAGACAAGATTTTTCCTCAGCAACAGCATCGGACACAGGGAAATCGATCGCCGAGACGTAAAAGTACTAGTATCCCGACGTTGTTATGCATTGATAACAACAAACTTGTGGATGCGACGTCGGCTACAGGAGTTAAACGCAAGATCCCGAGACCGGCAAACGCTTTTATGCTGTTCGCCAATGAATGGCGGAGGAAACTAGCTGCGGAGAATCCTCGAGAATCTAATAAGGATATCAGTGTCAGGCTAGTCTCTCTTTTAAAAGATCCATTTATTTCTGTCGCATAAACATGTAATTTTTAAAGATTTTTTTTCAATCTTGAAAATCTTTCAATTTTACATTTATCTTTTAAGAAATAAAACTTGTATGTGAAATAATAATTTGAAAATAAAACGATTTTGTTTTGTTCTATATTTTGTAGGCTGGGCGTTTTCTGGAAAAACATGTCAAAGGATATAAAGGAAAAATATTTTGCATTGGCACGTGAAGTCGACAAGGAGCATAAGAGAAAATATCCTGGTATGTACTGTAATCTGTATAATTCTTTTTAATGTGACTTCATTTATACGCGCATCTGGGTTGAACATCATTTCCTGATTTATCCGAACGCTCATGGGGAATGCGCCATGTAGTTACGCGATAACTTATCGTATCCTTACAGTACGAAGAATAATGAATGATAAGAGGGATTAAGATAACGGGAAGGGAAAACATCGATAAAAATGCTTGGAATGTGTCGTATGGACTATCGAGAAGCGGCGGATCTCTAAAATTAGAAAGTCTTGTTACTTCCGCACCGCGTGCGCAACATCCCAAAGTGTGGGGCCACCGTTTATAAATAGCTAGGATTAGATATCGATCGCCGGCGATAAGTCTATCCGCGTTATCAACCGACGAAAAGCGAGAAGCCATACCGCGCATAAGCGCTAACGTCTCACCCGACTCTTGCGATGATTGTCCTGGATCCAGGTGCACATATCGCTTGGTCTCATCGATATCACTTGCAACGTGACATTATATCCCTCTCAAAAAGCGATACATTGCTTACGTATTAAGATTTACAACGCCGCTGATTAATAGTAATGTAACGCAGAAGTGTAATCTTCGATTATATCTTTTTAGCTTGTTATACCTGACTGAAATGTCAGACCTTTAATAAAGTTGATGTTAATTGAGGGCGCAAGAAATCGGTGTCGCGGATCTGTGCGAGTTGTAGGTCACAAATGACGATGACGACGACGACGACGACGACGTCGACGACGATTCGACGGCGATGGCAACAGTGGCAGTGATGACGACAAGCGTGAACGATCGTCGCGGGGGCGGCAAAGGGTGGATGCGAGTTTTGCGGGTCGAACTCGAGGTACAGGGTGGCGAGCGGAGAGAAATATTCTCGGGTGAGTGACGCGGGGAAGAGGCGCGGGTGGGAAAACGGCGCGGCGGAGAGAGAAACCAGAGGTATTGATTGCGACGCGACTCCAGGAACCTGCCCGATACACGAACGCTGGTTCTACCTACCTACCTACCTACCTACCTACCTTCTGCCTACACCCACCGAGGCTGAGCGAACTAGCTAGCGATTATACTTCGTATATCCCGCGTTGCTACCGCGCATTCGTGCGCGAGAGGAACGTCGCCAGTTGCTGCGAGCAGCTGCGAGCGCGTGCAAGCGTACTCGCCAGGCGTCGCGTCGCCTCGCGTCGCCTCGCGTCGCCTCGCGTCGCCGACTGGTCCTCTAACTTTCGCTCGATTTCGCCTACTCCTCTGATTTTTCGCCAGTTACATCCGCTCATCTCGTTTCTTTCTTGCGTTATAAAAATTACTGCATATTTCAAAGTAGCGTAAAATTGCATTTGTTACAACTTTATTAAATACAAACTTTTGCAATTTTTCCAAACAATTTCAAACAATTTCATGCGAAAGGGATGAACAAGTTAAAATATGTACAATATTAAATATGTATTTTTATTTTTTATTGTAAATTTTTCTCAGAAAGGATTTGAATAAATGCCGTAGGAATAGTTGGAATAGTCGATTTTTTAAAAACTGATTATACTTATTCTGCGTCGTTCGAGGGATAGTAAAGATAGTTAACCCGTTAGATCGATACGTATTATTTTTGTCCGTGTTTCTCGTAGCCGAGAGTACTGTTCAAACGGATCCTTCTTCGTTTCTTTGGACGAACCGCAAATTATCGTATCACTAACACACACGGTTAGCTAATCATCCTATAATTTCACTACGCACTTTCGTTTACATGTGGCGTTTTATTATTCACATTTTATTATTCATGAATTAGCATGTATTTTCTTTCTTGACATAATAGAGTTTGAATTTTTAGAGATAAATATTATATAATACAATATTAAATAAAACCCGAAAAGTGTTGTTTAAACACGAACAAAAGAACACCATTTTCGGCTAAAACAGGTCTTGATGCTTACTGTTAGTATTCATAAACAAATATAATCAATTCAGTTTGCTGGACCTAAAACATAATCAGAAACTGAAATAATAATCTCATAACTGTGAATTAATTAACGTCAATTTAATAGTACCTAAAATGCCAGCGTCACAAAAATCAGTAAAAATAATTTAAATATAAAATAAATATCTAAATATTAATATCTATACTTAAACATAGGTATATAAAAGTTGGAACATATGAACAATGTATGTGTCTCATATATCAATATGTTAGATAATTATAAGTACATAAAATGATTTAGTATTTAAATATTCATGCATGATATATTAGCTAAATGATCTGAATATGATACAACTAAATTGATTGGAAATATTTAATTTTCTTCGACTAGCCGCTTCTTGCATTGATCGTTCTTCTTTACTTTACCATAATATTAAATTTAGTTTCTATCTCCTGCACCTTCTACATATTTAGATTCGCGTATCGTCGGTTGTATCGTATGTTTCGACTTCGAAACTCTCACTCACGACAAATATCGACGCAATTTTCCCGTCCTCGTTTTCAACCGTCCGCCGATAATGTAATCGATGCCAATTTCAGTCGGGGCGGGTGTCCCGAGTGGTCAATTAACATCACCGGGAAGCGGCGAAGACCGCATCGAAGCGCCATCGGGCATCGACGACGCGTCGACCGAATTCACGTGCATCTGCGCGCGTGTAACGTGCGGTGATCATGGTAAGGGGGTGAGTGGTGTCTGGTGGAGGGTGAAAGGAAGCAGAGGGTGGGCATAGAGGAGAGGGGAAGCATGGGGTAGCGCATAGTAGGTCGCATTGAGAGAAGCCGTCAAAATGTCGAGGCCCCTGCATCCAGGCGGCACGACGAGCCGATGCGCGATGGTACGAATGGAGGTGGATGGTGTCGCGGTGTGCACCGGGTTGATCGCCGGTCATCGATCCACCGACGTGCCAATGCGAGAGAGGGATGTGTATAAGAGAGAGAGGAGAAAGGGCTGCAAAGGGAGGATTTGTTCGCCGATGCAACGAATTCGCGGTTCGCGCAGATCGTCGGAGGATGATAATGAGAGAATATTTAATCGGCGAACGCACGACGAGATACTGATCGTGCCTGCCAACGTGCGTAATAATTGTTCACGTGAACAAGACGGTTGAGAAAGATAATACTCGTCATATCAGCGCGATCGATAGATCACGATCGCTTCATTGCGCCAGATAAACGCGTCACCACTAATGAGGAGGTCACGTGGGACGGATCGTGCATGTTTCCACGAGACAGATGCATCCGGAAGCACTTGCTCGACTAATACGATATAGCCGTCTCGGTCGAAGTTAATCCTCTTCGACCGTTCGACACTCTTCGAGTGTCGATTCTCCATGCTCTTGGTCGGAGAACATCATCCTATATATTAGAAAAAAAGAGAGAGAGAGAGAGAGAGAAAGAGAGAGAGAGATCGAGAGAGAGAGAGAGAGAGAGAGATACGAATTATCGACTCTCTCGAAGCGAGCAATGTACGCCGCATACGGAACTACGTCGATGCGAAAGCATTGTATGAGGGCTCCGGCTTGAAGCCGTTGAAGAAGGCAACGACAGTGAAAGAGGAGAGGAGAATTTGCCGGCGCCCCTCGTCTTCTCCTCTCAGTAACGGATTTAGAATCTGAAGAGCCCTAACGAGAAACAATATTACTATTTCACAGCTTACAATTAAAACGATTCTTTTAATTATATATTTCTAGCAGCAAAGAAATAACGATTATATGTCATTTATAAATTATCTTTATTTACTTATTCATTATAAAAATACTTTGCGATAATAATTATGTACTGTAATTACAAAACTTTACAGAGATAATGCAAGTGCAAACGCATGCAAACGATTTCGGGATTCTTCAATAACAATAAAGGGTTCTAAGCGACTTGCATTTATCGATAAATCCGCCACTGCTCCTCCTTTACCTGCTCGCGTTTCACACACCGCGACACACCTCGCGACTCGCGACGCCCTCAAGAGGGTGGGGAATGTGCCCTCCACTCGTCCACCCCCTTTCGCGCCACTCGAGTTTGTCGATGACGAAACGCACGTAAATTCGTAAAAAAAAACGCGCGCGCGCGCGTCCGCCCGCCCATCGCTGGTTCGTCCGTTCATACATTCTTCTGTCCGTGAGAATAACACAGCGAGTGGGAAAAGAGACGAGTAAATAGGTCGTTGTGCGCGCCGAAACACGGTGCACGTATCAATTAATATAAACGACCGCGCGAAACGCTTCGAAATGGAAGACGAAGGTGCATTCGTTCATTCATCGTAGCAAAATAGACGCAAGCGTGCGAAATCGTTGTGATAGTAGCATAGTTTAAACAGAGTACTACGTAAATGAGAGAAACGTGCGTTCTTCACGTTTCTAAACTGGATTAGAATCGTTTAGGAAAACGCTCGGAATGTATCTGCACGAAAAAAAGAAATATATGTAAAAGGAAGAACTGTCTGGAATCGAGATCGATGTGCCGCGTGGACTAGGTCAAGTGATTAATTAACAAGCGAGAGAGCAAATTAGAGTGATCGTAAAAACGGAGAGATCGTAAATCGGAAATTATTCTAACAATTTTTAATCCAACCTTGTCATTTGATCGTCCGAAAAAATATCGATTCTGAAAAAGATCCGTTGAATAGATGATCTGTTGTTGCAAAAAGGAAAGAAAGGAATATCAACCAGGAGGATCGAATTGATCACGCCAACGAAAACGGTGTCAACGAAGGCGCGGAAAAGGTTGTGCTTGTTTTCGGGGGAACGGGGACAGGAGCGTGCGAGGGGTGCAGCAGGTGTAGCGAGAGCGCAGCTTCTGTCATCGATCTTGCCGCGGCTGCAGCGAGCATGGCGCGGCTCGCCGCGCCGCACACGTCGGATCACGTCCACATGCGAACGCGTGGCGATCGACGTCGATCGAATGAGGATGATGCCGTTAATTAGTCACGATCGTCGATGGTGACGCACATTAATTTACCGACGATTATCTCTGACGACGACGATGTCAACGACGACGACGACGACGACAACGACTTCGACGACTTCGATGACGATGACGACGACGACGACGACGACGACGACGTTAACGACGGCGACGACGATGACGACGATGACGACGATGACGACGACGACGACGAGGAGGAGGTCGACGTCGACGGAACTGCGAGCGCTGGATCTTTCCGACGCTTTCTCCAGCAGTTGCACCGTTTTCCCAGCGTAAACGTCCGACGATCTTGCAGCAAGAGCAAAAGGGACTGCGAATAAGACTTTCGCGCTCACACTCTGCGCCTTTGGAACGAGGAGAGGAGAAGAGAGGAGAAGAGAGGAGAGGAGAGCGATGCGCTGCGTGGTCGCGGTGCGTCGCGTCGTCCGCGAGCGCGCGAGCGGTGTTTACATTTGCAAGAGCCATGAGACGTGAACCCGCGAAATCGAGATATCGATCGAGCTTCACAGAAAGCACGATTTAAAATCGCGCGTTTCCTTCATTTCTCGCATGCTCGGTATTAGTTCACGGAAATGTGAACCTAAAAGAGGCACCAATCGGCTGACGAAGATAAAAATTCGTGCGTGCATGCCGATCTTTATATATCTTGCAAAGATGCATGTCCGTGAAATCGCGAGGGTGCGTCTCAGTTGAACTTTAGATACGACAAAATAAAAGAAATCGCGTACCTCTTCTAATATTAATATTTTAATTGAATCTCGATAAGAATTTGACTTGACGTACCACCATGAAAAATATTAATAACAATTTTCGAAAACATCGAGGGAAAATAAGCATTTTGAGAGACGGAGTGCATACTCGAGTTTATCGATCGAAGCATCAATGAGTTCGATCTATGATATACTGTAATCGAGACAGATCGAAGTTTTGCGCGATGTTTGCACGCCACGAGGAAGCCTAAGTGTATCACTAGCAGGGGAGATCTAGATCGATACGTGAGGCTTCGCAAACGCAGTGTCGCGCAAAATCGCAGAAATGGACTGCTGCAATTACATTGAGGCTTACGCGGCAGGTGGTCATTTTTATCAGCAGCAGCAGCAGCAGCAGCAACAGCAGCAGCAGCAGCAGCAGCAGCAGCAGCAGCAACAACAACAACAACAGCAGCAGTACTTTTGTTACGACAATGGTAGTGTAGCGTACCCTGGCTATGATGCCGCGCCAATCTCCAACGCGATGGACATTAATGCTCGATACAACGGAGCGTTACCACCCACGTATCCGACAGGTAGAACTCTGCAAATGGAATGCATGTCGCATGCCGAAACGATAATTTGCGTAGTTTTGCGACATTGCGGGCACGCACTATTCTTTTCCTGTCATTTAAGAACCTTATCCTACTGTAACGCTTCACGGCAATAACGAAAACATTATATGTATTATCGTTGCGCACCTTTTTTAAAAAAGATATATGTGTATAAAACCTGCGCAATGACATATATGTAATCATATTGTTATTATCATTAAGAGTTACAGAATAAAATCCGTAATTACAGCTCAATCCGAAATTAAAAAGGGAATAGGAACAAATTTATCTATTCGTAAAACGAAGAAAAGATATACTGTCAATATACAATACTATATTTGATTTGAAAATTCACTTATTTGTTAAATGTTGGAAAAATTAATTAGAAAAAAAAAAGAAATTTCTTTCGGCCGAACAAAATTTTACAATAGAAAATTTAAAAATCTGACAAAGATTTGCGTAGTAGATATTGCGTGCAATTGGATAATTCAAGGTAGTTCGTTGTATAATAAATGTGAGATATTTATCATTTGAAAACATCTATTTCAGTTACAATAAAAATTACATGATTTCATATTAACGTATTCAAATGAATGTCTTAACACGATTGATCACTTTTGAAAGTTTGTTACACATATATATTATTTGTTTCTGTCCTATACTAAATACGTGTGTACGTACGTATTATAGATATTATAGATATTATATATTCGAAAACAGTACGATTACGTAACAGCATGACATTTTGCATTTCTGTATTTAGTAACAATCGCGTGTACATTTTCGCAGATTATGTGTATAATCCGAAGGAGGCGAGGCTACGGAAGGCGATGCGCGAGCAAACTCGCGAGCTGTCACGACGGTCGATCTTGCAAAGCGCGATCGCAACCGCAAATGCGCGCACAGCCGCGATTGGTGGCGCTAATTCCGTCGTTTCCGCATCAATGGCCGGCGACTTTCTAAATCAACATCATCGTTTCGATTGCACGCCGATGCCCATGGGTCCAAACATGAGCCTTCATCAGACGACCGAGCCCTGGTTCCAGGCCGCGCATCGCCTGAAACCCGCACACTCGCCACGAATCGGCGATTGGTATGGGAATATATGCGGCGATCCGATCGAGAGGCTGCAAGCAATGGGCGCGATGCAACAACACCAGCACCAGCACCAGCACCAGCACCAGCAGCGGCAGCAACAACAATGTAATCTCGAGAAGCCTATCAAGGATCAAAGAAATCAGACATCGGAATGCGCCACCGCGGCATTTTCCTCCAACGGCTATTCACCGGATATCCAGGCCGCGGAGAGAGAAATTCGCAGACCAGAATCCGCGGAATACGCCGATTTTGTCGACGGCCAGAAGTGGCATCCTTATCAAGTAATATACAGAACGCAATGGGACATAGTTACATGAGACGAAACACGAGACAGCGTTTTCGATTTTCGACTTGTGAATTTCGTTCAGTTTAAATTGGCAAATACAAATTGTATCGATCTCATTTTTCAGACAAAGCAGACGTTTTTCAATTTCATTAAACGTAAAATATACCTGTTGTTTACGTGAATAAACATTTTTGCCCCCATTAAATTAATATTATAAATGTTTTGTAAAAATTCGCCTGACACTCTGATTGTAGAACAGCGCTAGTCCTCATCCACTTCCGAGAACGCCTCATTCATCACCGCAAATGGGTAGCATTCTTCACCCAGATGTCCAGAATGCAAACGCGCATGGACATGGTCCATGGGGCCAATTTTGTCACGGTATTTTACCACGTAAGTTTCACGTATTTCAATATTTTATTCTCTGCAAGTTCTAGCGCAACGATTTTTAAACTGATAATTTCATTATGTCATTATAATATGACTAATCGTACTTTTATACACAGATCTGAATCATGACATGTAATAATATCCTTGAAATTTTAACAATAAATAAATATTTACAAATGCAATTGAGAATAAAAGAACTGCGCGAAAATTCTCGCTGCGTATTGTATGATTGTATCTTTTATTTTGTTCTTCTACTCTGTTATTTACTGTGAATATTTACTTATTGTACGTACTATAATATCTGTGTCGGTTAAAAGAAAAAAAAGAGAATTGTTATTAAATAAAACATTTTATAATTCACATAATACGATATTCAAACGTGTGTAATATTTTAGATGTTTCAAATGTGGCCCGTAACGCGACGATTCGAGGCCCGCGACATGCAGTTTTCTTACGAGATCGTACACCAACCAGACACTGTGCATTCTTGGAGGATGCATCGCAAATGAATTATTCGCCGAGAAAATTGAACATTGATAGCATTCGCGCGTCTTATCCATCGTCGGAGCATCAGGTATTCAATATATACATGACGTATGGCTGTCGCATCATTATCTAGTGAATCCAAAAGTTTTGCATAACGAATAGATCGTATAAATATATATAATGATTAAGAATAATGGAAAAATTACTAAAGCGTTACATCAATTTGACATTTTGTCGTGAATGTTAATAAGGAATTATCAATATAAAGCATTATGTATGCAGATGCCAAGATTGTTGGGATCAGCCGTGGATTCCGTCATAGACTCGACGACGACGACGACGACGACGACGACAATGACGACGACGATAAATCGACGCGAGGAAGATGGTCGGACCAGATGGGAGCCAAATAATATTGGGATGTCTCTGGACGAACTCGTGCCAACCTCTACGGTAAAATATAATATGTCAAGATATACAAAATATATATTTCTCATTTTTTAGTTTATATAAGAATACCCGTTTCATTCATCAAATTGTTACACTCGCTCCATATCTTAAAGACGTGTCGATTTTAGCCACAGGAAGGTACAATTTCTCGC